TCTCTCTCACTCTCTGTCTCTCTTTCACTCCACATGTATACAGTCACAATAAATTGTCTCTCTCCATGTAAACAATGCTGTCATGAATGTCACAAACTCACTAGTGTGCAGTCACACAAAGTCAACCACAGTGGCACACACACACACTTTATCTAGACAGTGGCCTCAAAGTAATTCCTCTCTCGTGTCTCTGTCACCTTCAAATCAGATTAGCCCACATTAGCGCAGCTATCGTCACAGCCAGGCCTCAGGCCTGCTACTGCAGCGCACTGCCCACTGACACCAGGCACACTAGATAACCACCAAACCCTGTCACACAGAGAAAACTGATGACGCGAGGCACCAAAGACAAATGTAATGTGTTTCAGGTTTTTCAAACAGATATATACAATTTATTTTGCTACATTTAGTGGCCATTTGTAAAAGTTATTATCCACCAGGTTAAAACAAGAAAATGTTTGAAACACATTCTCTCTCAATCTTCGGCTATATTATGATAATCGCTATCATCAAGTTTGCAAAGATGCAGTAATGTTTAACCGTGGTCTTGCTAGGAAAGGTCCAACTATAACTTATAAAAATATCTAAATAATATTTAGTTCTTTGTTTCTTTAACTTACAATTTGGTGCTTTTATACATTGTACCACTGGAATCAAACACTGGATATCACTTTTTACCCCTCTATTCTCCTTCTTCCCCCCTTTGTGAATACCCTCTTCCTTGTTTCACCCTCTGAATGATCACCTGCATGTTTCCCCTCTGGGACCTTTGCTCTTAGACTGTTAGAGCGAACAGTGTGTTTTACATGTGGCTGGAAAATGTTGTAATGTCGTAGTCATGATTAAGATATATCTCTGCTGCCCTCTGCTGTTTTGAACTGCAAGAGAATCAATTTGTTGTTTTATGAAGAGCACACAAAGTTATAAATGATAGTAGGTCACCAAGTCTTGCCAAGAAAACTTGCTAAGAAGGTGACATCGCTTCACTTGTTATTAATTAGTTCTAAGAAGTTTCATAAATCAAATGGTTGTAAAATGTGAATGTGAAATGAAAATTCCTAGAGTCATTTTACACTGGAACAACTGTCAAATAAATTATAGGTGACTTCTAAAGACAGAGAGACTGACATATTGTATTACAGGAATGTTCAATAAAAACACGATAACAGTATTAAAACAATATATCTAATATACTAATGAAGTATATGGCAGGTTTGGAGTGAAATTACTTTCAGTTCTGCCAGTAAAGGAAGCAGATTCTCATAAATCATTTTATTTTGAAAGATTTGTTTATTTGATTGCTCAATAAATCTTTGTAAATATCAGTGTTATCTGTTGGCCGCAGTGAGCGAACTGAAGGGAATTTCACAGTTTTTACCTCAGCACTTTGAGGTTCAAAACCAAGCACAGCTGAAACGAAACATACAGACTCTGGATTTTAAATGGTGTTGATAACTTCCTGTAATTCCTGGCAGGAGTGTGAGGTACAGTATGACCTTCACACCGCACCCTCTGTATGTCTGTGTGAGCCCACAAGCCTGCTGCAGTATTTGTACAAGTTTCACACAGTTAAATACATACTCTGTCTCTCTTTCTCTCTCCACAGAAGAGCCAAAGCTGGTACAACGTAAGTCACACCTTGTTTTTATTTACATTATCAACACATGTGATCTTGTAAGTCTTTTACGGGTGTATATGTGTGCTGATGTGAGTTTGCGTCATGTGGACTCCTGGAAGTCTCTTGGAGCTGTTGTAGTGGCGAGTGCTGCTTATGAGATGAAAGGTTGCTGTCCTTGACCCTGTTTACTGGAGCACCAAACCACTAGTATGGGTTACTGGTTCTCCAGGCAGGGATTAGCACAGGCTTAAAAGAGCAACAGGTGGACCTTACTGATGCAGGGAATCAAGGGAATACAAAGACTACACTAGGACACTTAATAACTTTAGCTTCTTTTTTCTTTATGGTAGACACAAAATAGCCAGCACAAAGCCAGAGTGTTGCAATTTTATATTGCGCCACAAGATGGTGCACTAACACTACTTCTGACCCCACTATAATTCTTTTAAATGTGGTCAGTTGCTGAACAGCCTTAATAATTACTTTCAACCAACCTATATGCTGCCTGTTGTGTTAATTAAGCCCACAAAGTGAGCAAGAATGAGTATTTTACTTTACACCTCTCTGTGTGAAACCGTAGTTTCTCCAGAAGTGTCTTTACTGGACTTTTTCCCATTTTTTTATTTCTTTTTTTTTATTCCCTGTGTATACACTCTTCCCCTCTCTCCCCAGCATGAAAGACAACACATCCTGAGAGTAAGCATGACTTGTATTCTTGTGCAACCCTGGATATCTTTCTGTCTCTCTTTCTCTGTATTTTGGTTCTCAGACCAGTGGAATGATAATATCTCTCCTGCCTGTTTCTCATTTCATTGACTTCAAGTCAGTGTTGTTACCACCTTTCAGCAAAGCCACACTTTGGAAGAAGTAATTTTGACAGTAAACATAACAATATTTGTCCAACTAAAGTTCTATAGTTGAAATTACAGAATAACTCTAATGCTAGTGGTCTTATTCAATTCTTTAAAATGTATTAATAGTAAGAGAGATCTGGATTTGCCTTTGACCGTCACCACTCAAACTTCTAATTCTGGTACGCAACAGGTGGTAACAGGCCCACTGAGTTTCACACTGTACTAAAAAAATCAACAAACCATCCCAAGGGCCTCTGGACGAGCCTTGAATGCCTTTGAACAACAGGGGAATGGAGCATGGTGCTGTATGTCGTGGCATGTTTCCCTCCAGCCTCTGTTTCTTTGTCTACATATGTCCTAATTAACATGGGCAGTAGGACTTTTAGGCTTTAGGGTCCAGGTACGATAATCAGAAGAAAGCACGGGGAAGGTAGAGAAATGGAGTTCAAAAGAGGCTTGGTCCAAAAAGTCCAGACAGCTTCTTAAATACTTTTCTAATGCACTCAGCTGTAGTAAGCCACTCACATTTCCTCTACTGACCCGCTAACTAGTAATGAGCAACACAAGTAACAATGTAGAGTTGAATTTTACACTTTTAATGTCTAACAAATGCAAGTGTCATGTTTACAGATAACATACAACTGGCTACCAACACAGTTTGCATCAAGTGTACAAGATACCAGGACAGTCATCTAATAAACTGATTTTTGTATACCCCCGACTTATATTACCTACTATGTAGTCCCAAAATCTTATTTATCTTATTTTCTTCAAAGATAAAGCTTGTCATATCCTATTAAAAGACCAAAAACATCAATGAGATCAATCAGCAATGATACCATATGTTATGATATATTATTCCTCTGTGCCAAAGAGCTCCATTATTGTCCAAAAGCTATTAAAAAGTCAGCAGTTAGCCACACTGTTGTACTGGGATGTTCTTAATCATTAAACCACAATGACAGTGTTTTTGCTGTGTGGAATTTACCATCACGTGGGTTCACGATGGTGAATTTACCTTTTTTTTAAATGTTCAATACTAGGGCTGTGTTCCTGACATCTTGTACACGCAACCTTACTCATAAAATAAATACTGAAGCTCAGTCAATAAGTTAAATATGTCCAATTGGTACTTTTACTTCAGTTGGCTGGGACTGTATGTGTATGCGCCTGCATGTAGGACAGTGTGTGCCTGTGTAGGTGTGTGTAACTCTACACGGCAATGATGACCTCCCATGGCACTGAATCCACAATGATTACAAGTCCATCCGTCCTATTGTGAGTTCTGAGCCTGTTAGAGCTGCACACAGTGGCCATCTTTCTTCAGCAGCCCTCTGACAGCGCCTGTTCATTCACTTTGCATCTACACAAGTTGGTCGCAAACGCTTCCGCGGCACCCTCCGGGCAGTTAGCAACAGAAGGGAAAACACTGACAAACGTAGCATAGATACATGCGATTGGTACTTTAGACAGTGAGTGATTTGAATTTGTTCAGATTTGCATAGATCAGCATTTTCACATTGCTTCACTCGGATCAATACACCCACACACATACCTTGCCTGACTTCCCATCAAATAAAAAAACAACCCTTGTAAAAGGATTGTTGTTTACAGGATGGACACACACACTTCCAGCCCTCCCTCCCCCCCTTAAACACTAAAACCCCACCCTGGTTTACAGTACCAGTCTCTTCCATCTCCTACTGTTTGTCCAGCGAGTTAATAGTTAACTAAATCCATAAACAGTGTGTGTCCGCAGTTCCACCTCATCCCAACTCTCACACTGTCACCTGAACACTGGACGCTGCATCAGTCAACAACAGCCTCCTTCTTTGCTTGATTCATTGGAGAAAATGACTTGAATGAGCGAGAAATAAAGGACTGCTCTCAGCACGGACGTTTCGAAGAACGGTTTGTTCCGCAGGCGATTTTTAGCAGATGAACCCACATTCCGTTGAAATTTCATCCACATGATGTAAAGGCATTTTTAAAGGGTTGAAGGCCTTTTTAGAACTGTGTGTGAATGATCAGCACTGTTTTCCAATGAGGCCCGCTGACTGAAGATTCAGAGTCTATTTTTTTCCGCTTCAGATGTGTCTGGTTAAAGTGAGGATTGGGAAATAACAGCAGAGGAAAGGTGGAAGTCATGGCTCCATTCAAGTGCACATAAATGTGGGCTACACATTTTCTTCCTCCAGCAGGAGTCAATGAGCTGCACGCTGCAGCAACAGTTGTGTTTTACTTGTATTGCCGCTGGGATGGGTATGCCCACCTTCTTGACTCTTGAAATATTTTTAGTTGGGAATAGTGGGAGGACATGCGTGCCGATGCCTGCCAAAATAGGAGCTGCGAGCTCTGCATCTTTCTTGCCTGCTAAGAGTGACAGAGGGTGATCAAGTATTAAGAGTACGTGAATGACCTCAATACTAAGGCACGGAGAAAGGAGGGGACCACTTCCATACCTTCAATACCTTTAATACCTTCAAGTCGACACTGATCAGAGCTTTGGATACCTTTTGTTTGGATTCCAGCATCTTTTCATCCATACAATGAATGATCAGATGAAATACAGGAATATTTCCAGTATGTTGGTCCAGCCTCTTCACCCTGCGATTGAAGCTCTAGACTGCAGACCCTGTCAAGATTGATGGTGTTGTTTTGCAGGCGGAGGTAACTGGAGGTTATGCTCACATCTGTTCTCTGTAACTCAATCACTTTGTCAGACAGCAAGACGGACTCAGCAAACACTTCAGCGGTCTGAAAACATTAATTTCTCTTTATTTATTCAGCCCTGTTTACTTTCTTCTTACTGTAGCGTCTTTCCTTTCGAGCTACGTCTTTGTTTACATTAGTCTGCTTCATTCTTTGCTGGTCGTAAACTAGGCAATTACAAGGCACTCAGACCTCGACAGCACCACACACACACACAAGCTCAGCTCACACACTTACTAGGAGGAGTAAGCTGGAGGAAAAAAGGAAAAAGCTACTGGCATGATAATAAAGGACTTGTTGGCCGGGGTTACTAGAGGGCAACGGCCGTAACTCCTCTCCCTGTGTGTGTGAAAGGAAGAGAGAGAGAGCCAGAAAACGACAGAGCGAGACAAGGATCATGTGGCTGGAGTGTGCTGTGTCCACCGCTCAACACTGAACTGGGAGCAGCACCCAAAACAGGGGGCGGATACTCCAGCTTCCAAACCACTGGACTCACAAGCTGTCTCCACTCTTATTTTCCAAACCAACTGTAACTGACAACTCTCTCCAACATCAGAAGAGCCCGCTGGGGCCCCCTTTTAGGAAAATTTGCCTCCTTTCAGGCGCCAAAAAGGATCTGGCCCGGTGAAATATGGAATTGTATGAGGATTGTACGATGTCGGACTGGGAGGCCGTGCTGGAGCTGGATGAGGCACTGGCAGGGTGGCTTCTGCAGGGTCCGGCTAGAGGGGAGTGGGGTTGGGAGTGGGACTGGGCTGCCTCGGACCTTCAGGACCCTGAGTGTGACTCTGAGGAGATCCCTGCTGTAAGTTGACCTCCACTTAAGCTGAAAACCACAAAGAGAGGACTGAACAAAATGAAGTGAAGAAGCTAAAGAAATGTTGGGTTGGGAAAGATTATCGAGCTCTGTTTCGGGCCAGAGTGCAGTCACAAGAGAGGGGAAAACATTTCACTGTACGCTGCTGTAAGCATTCTGTGGTAATTCCCCACTACTAAAGAAAACAACTGGGTTGGGTATGAGTCATAGCTATTTGAATTCTCCCCTAGCTCATAGAGGCCTGTTGTTTGGAGTGTTCATTGGACTGCAGAGTAGGTGTGTTTGTTTGTTTCTGGTCATGGATGAAGGTTTTATGAAAGAAGCATCCTGGTGGTCTGTGCAGTTAAACTCAATTCCAGGCAATTAGTGAGGGCTTTCAGAGATGTCACTCATGTTTTCAGAGCAGTTTTTCTCATCACTGCATTTTTCTCAACGGCCAGTAGAAGCAGAAACCAATACTCCCAAACAGTATTTCAATGTTTTTGTTTTTACAAGGGAGGCACATGCAGTGATTTTTAATGTGAACGATCTGTTCTTTTCCCACCAGCCCTGATCCAGAGGAATATATTTTTCTTTTGTCTCACTATACCTCTTGTTACTGTATTGGCAGCTATTGTTTCCTGAAGCTTTCCTGTTGAAGGAAAAGCATCTGGCACAGACAGTGAGAGCTCTCACTTTGGCAACTTTTGGAGATTTTATGCATCACAGTCTCTCTCTGTCAATAATCATGTCTGCTGAAGCCAAGCAAATGAGAGTGTGATCTTTCCCAGTCCTGAAATGTTTTTTTGACCAGGTTAACGAAACTATTGTGTCAAGTTTGAGGTTTGTTTGGGGTTCCATCAGTTGTGCTACCCCTCATCACTAAACAGAAGCCTCGTTGCCAGATTTGCTCTGTATTACTCATATTAGAAATGCTCTGTCATTGCAGCATGTGTATTGAATTATGTGCAGCTGGGCTGATGTTTTTGGGATTGCGCTTTGAATCACTTTACTTAGAATCAATAACAATGCAGCCTTAGGGATAACTCAGGTCACATACCTCTGCTTGCCATTCACCATACATCCATTTCCAGTGCCGGTCAAAATCACCCACAGAATGATATCCACGCTATAATTAGAGTAAACCAGACATCCTGATCAAACCTGTGGGTGGTTTTAACCCGGTTTTCTCACATGGTCATGGAAACAAATAACTCGGGCTGCGTGGCGGAGACAACACTTGTGAGTGAGCGAGTCAGAGAGCATGAAGAGTGTGAGTTTGGAAGCATATGCGTGTGTGTGGTGTTGTTTCTGACCCTGCCTGTCACTGCAGGTGCTGAGCCCGACATACAAGCAGCGCAATGAGGACTTTAGGAAACTCTTCAAGCAGCTCCCAGACACAGAGAGACTCATTGTGGGTGAGTGGACGACATGCGCAAACAGGGACCATCTGAGGGAAGGGAAGGGTGCAGCTAAATTGTTACTGATTAGAAAATGAGGAGACTAAACAGAGAGGAGACTCAAACAAATATTGGACATGCACGTACATGATGACATGATTCAAATATTTCTTTATCAGTGACAATGCAAACAGTACTCTCTCTGCTTTGTGTAACTTATGACCTGATAATGAACTTTTCCAGCAGTCTAAATTACCTACCGCACTGTGCCATGAACACATAGTGTCACAAGTTTAGCCAATTTGTTGTTGCATTATTTTCTCAACTCCAATGAATACTGTCATTGTCTGAAATGCCTTCAAACATAACACTCTAGTGTAAAGCTGAGCTTAGAGTGTGATTGGTTTGACATGGTTTAGTAATAATGATTTCACAGCTAATAAACAAGCTATACACACAGCCCGGAGCACTGAAAAATACTGCAGTGAGGTTGTGACAGTGAATTTGATTGGCTATTTGCTTGTTCTTTTGTCTGATCTAGAGATGAACATACTTTTGATGATTTGTATTTTAATTGCATAGTTTCTCTGTGATTCCTTTTGTAATTTCTCTGATTACTTTGACGTCTTTATGTTCCAGACTACTCCTGTGCTCTTCAACGGGACATCCTCCTGCAGGGACGACTCTACCTCTCTGAGAACTGGATCTGTTTCTATAGCAACATCTTTCGCTGGGAAACACTGGTATGCTTGTTAGCAGTTGTTGGCAGTATTGGGTCATACTATAATGTGTGTGTGTGTGTGTGTGTGTGTATGTATAATTGTATACATTTGTGTGTGTGTGTGTAGCTGACAGTGCGGCTAAAGGACATCTGCTCGATGACTAAAGAGAAGACTGCCCGCCTCATTCCCAATGCTATCCAGGTCTGCACAGACACTGAGAAGGTAAAAGATACAGGATGAAAATACAGGCATTTATATTAGTACCAGCTTTGAGGAGACATGTTCCTGCCACACATTGACTAAAAGTGACTGGAGAATGGTTAGCAGCATATTAATGCCCATTGCCACTGCTAAATATGTCACTAGTAATGAAAATAATCCCAGAATACAATGGTTTAAACAGTGCTCCTCAAAACTGGCCTTTGTTTTCCACAGTTAGTGTTGTTTCGTTCCAGTGCTAGCCAGACTCATGCATGGTTATCGTGTGTTCTTCACAGCACTTTTTCACCTCATTTGGAGCCAGGGACCGAACTTACATGATGATGTTCAGACTGTGGCAGAATGCGCTGCTGGACAAGGTAAGCAAATCTGATCTTCTACTTGGTGATTAGGTGCCTAGGTAGGTTGCACACACAGTCTTCTCATTTCTTACTGTAATTGGTCGATGCCTCTCGCAGCCCTTGTGCCCCAAAGAACTATGGCACTTTGTTCATCAGTGCTATGGCAACGAGCTCGGCCTAACCAGTGACGACGAGGACTACGTTCCCCCCGATGACGACTTCAACACGATGGGGTGAGTCTGTTTATGCTGCGGCATCAGTTACTATGGTTACTGCTATAAACATTAAGCAGCCATTTACCTAATTAGCCAAATTACAAAATAATTAGAGTCCAATAACGAGCAATACTCACATGCTCTGTCACATACAAGCACACACGTCCTGTCCAACTCAGATAATCCATTTTGATACAAAATTACGCACCCAACATGCTTCTCAGCTCATTTACGCTGCAACTTATAGCATCTGTGTCGAACTCCTTGGTTTACCAGCTGGGTTGCATGCTGCTCAGCAACTAGGGAGAGCTTTAAGGTTGCAGAAGGTGCAACGCAGCAAGTACTGCATTCATCTGTAGGCTACAAAGATCACTCCTCAGTCCTTCATTTACATTTTCCCTTCATGTATTTAGTGGATTTACTTGGCGAAATCAATACAGAGTCATGGTTTGAACCTGTTTGGTCTCCAGTGCACTTGCAGTGTCAACTTGCTTTTGAGGAAACGTAGGCTATGAACTCAAACTGACAATGTGAGAGGAAAGATTTACTTCAAAGGCTGAAGTGATGTCCAATTAGATGGTCCTGAAGTGATTATGGCTTTGTAATGAGAGATAATAGTCTACATACCTATTAGTAAAGTGAAGTGGAAAGATTTTTTTCAGTTTTCCCACACTTTTAATGAAATCCAAAACCGCCCACTTTGTGGCTTTGTGGTTCTTTCATCTGCACACAGATTTATATGCACACACGTATACTAAGTCAATTTTGCTGTGATCATCAAAACGTCTGAACTACTGCCCGCCTTGCACCTAGGCCAAATCGCCCTATAAAAAGTCTGCAAACACTACTTCAGGTCTTACAAAACCCTCATTCATGATGTGAGAGGAGATGAGTAGAAGTGAGTTAAGTTTTTGCTCTTGTCGCTGTTCTTTGGTGCCTTCAGGTTCAGTGAAGAGATTCCCAATGAAGAGAATGAGATCAACAATGACAACTTGTCTAAGAGCAGTGCCGAGGCCAAGCCTGAGGGGAGCCCTCCTTTGTTACATAAGAAGGTCGTCCCAAACAGCACCATCCCCAGCCCAGGCAACCATGACACACCCATCACAGTAAGTGACATATGTTGTTTCAACACTCACACATGTGTATATATATACACACATTCATCAATGTCAAATCAAGTGCAACACCTCTCAGAAAACTAGATGTTAATAATAAGATATTTTCTTGATAAACATTATTGATGTGATTTATTTGTCTTGTCCCAGTTCGATCTCCCAGCAGAAGAGTATGCAGACTTCCTAACAGACGGCGAGCTGCTTCCTTTGCCACTGGTAGTGGAAGAGACGAACAATGGTACCAGCGGGCCTGGTGGTCCTGTCTCCTCACCCTCTCTGGATTTCAACGACAACGAAGACATCCCCACTGAGCTCAGTGACTCCTCTGAAACGCACGACGAAGGTACAGAACAGAATGAACACCTCTCTTCTTCATAAATTATGTATTTATGTTCTAGTGGAAAGGCTTTGAGTGACTCATAACAGGATGATGTAGATGATACCAGTAACATCTGAAACTACTGAATTTATTGTCCTCTTGTCTGTGTGTCTCTCGGACGTGTAGGTGAAGTACAGGCCTTCCATGAAGATCTGAATGGCAGGCAGCACATCAATGAGGTCTACAAGTTCAGTGTGGACAAGCTCTACGACATCCTCTTCACAGAGTCGCAGTTCATGAGTGACTTCATGGACCAAAGACGGATCTCAGGTCAGTATTTCTGATGCCTCTACACAGCTAACCTCTGACCAGTAAAGGTAATCCGCTCCCCTGCAGGCTGCAATTAATTAATTAATTAATTCATGCCTCTCTGTCTCTCTCTCTCTCTCTCCTTCATCATTGTGCTGTTTAGATGTGGCGTACCAGCCGTGGAAGAAGGAGGATGCTGGGAACCAGACCAGAGAGATCATGTACACCATCTCACTGTCCAACCCCCTGGCCCCCAAAACATCCACAGCCAGTGAGACACAGGTATCGTCAACCCTAGTTTATCAGACACATTTCTGATAGTTTCTGCCTTCTGAGTTTGAGATGGCTTTAAAAATAGCAATCAGTTGAAGCACATGTTCTGTCCTTTGTCAGACTCTGTACAAAGCCAGTCAGGAGAGTGAGTGCTACATCATTGACGCCGAGGTCATCACGCACGATGTGCCCTACCACGATTACTTTTACACTCTCAACCACTACATTCTCACCAGGGTGGCCAAGAACAAGTGTCGGTTACGGTGAGTAAGACATGGATTATGTATTATGTTCTTTTATTTTTGGATTGTTTTTCAACATTTGATAGTCTACCAATTTATATTTCCAGTTTTGTATCTTATTATAAAAGGCTGTCTCTCTAAAAGTATAAATGCATTTATGTCTGCCAGGGTATCGACAGAGCTGCGCTACAGGAAACAGCCATGGGGGCTGGTGAAAGGCTTCATAGAGAGAAACTTCTGGAGCGGAATAGAGGAGAACTTCCGCCATCTAGGTAAACTTATAGTGTAGTCCGTCTCTATTACAAACATATAAAACTATGTCTGCCAGGGATTCGCTATGGTATTTTTGAGAAGTAACAGTCATGTAGCACTGCACTTTGTATAAATTGTACATTTAATCATAATAATGATTAAAAAAAAAACTTTTATTTATTTCACCTTTTAAAACACAGTTACAAAGTGCTTTACAAAAAATAACAGAACTCATTTCAACAAAATATATAAAAACCAAATTACATTTCAAATACCCTTTTTTTAAAAATGAGACAGTTTGTCTTTGAATCACAGATTTAGTTTTCACATTGATTTTTTGCTACTACTAGAGAAGAGAAGTGAACAGATACACAATAGCAACATGTAAATATTTTCAACAAGTCTGTCAATCTTTAATTGTATCTGGATGGGATTCGATATGAATGTGTGAAAGTTGTCTTCCTCTTCCTCCTCAGACATTGCGCTGTCCAAGCTGGAGGAGATTCTAAATGAGTCCCACCAGCTGTCTCCGAAGGCCAAGGTGGTGAAAAATTCCACGGTGAGGCGGAAGAAGAGGCCACTCCCCCACATGCGCAGCCAGCACCTGGACGAGGCGCTCAGCCCCGTGACCACGCCGACGGATGAGGAAGTGATTCAGAGGATCAAACAAGTGGCAGGCTCCACACAGACCAGACACCAGAGTCCAGAACACCATCACCTGCCCGGAGGCCTCGCTTTCTACAGCGTCTCCAAACTGCTGCTCATCATCAGCTTTGTGTACGCAGCAGACAACACACACACACACACACACACACACACACACACACAGTGCACAATCTCTCATATTGGTATGTTTGTAT